TTCAAAATGTCTTGTCACACTACACAACTTCATTAGATCAGGTTTGTGCAGAATGGTGAGGAAAAAACCATTACAAGAAAGACAATATTTTAAGAAAGCTGAAATTTTCAGAAATACATTTTTCTACCACTACCCTACCCCCCCCTCCAGTCCTACAGAGTAATACAAGGAGAAACCAGAATCCGTTCAGTCCTATACATTAACTTTTCTGTTACGTAAACTAGTTCTGAATCAGTTTTAAAATAGTTTGAGCATTAGGAGGGCTCTACAATCGCCTGTAGTTGGCCTGGTTGTGTGCCCTGTGCCTGTGGGCGCATACCCCTGCTCTCGCTGGGCAGTGTGTTTCGATGTGGGAGGCCAAAGTTCTTCCAACAGTTAATAGCCCTGTCAATCATATTGGTACAATAAAAATAAATATGGTGGTTCTTGTGGCGAGAGTTTCCTTCCAGTGTTGCTTTTAGCATCCTGGCGTACTTCTCAAAGAATACTGTATTAATGATTCGTATGACTATTAATGTTACCCAAAAGGAATAATTTACCTCATGTGCCTTTTAGGAGAGAGAGCACTGAGAAGCTTACCTTTATCAGGTCTGAAAGTAAATCGTAACTATTAGAGGGGAAAAGTAGCTTCAAATGTTCTTCTACAGGCTTATTCATAAGTCTGTCTTGAGAAAGGCAAGTAAAGAAGCCTCTGATGCTTCCACGGAGTCTGAGATCTTTGGTGAAATTTGGCATTATAACTCAAGTTGAGGCAAGACACTTTCCTACAGAACTTCTATGTAGCAATTTCTGTTCTGCTCCGAGTGAAACCGGTTGGTGTGTTTTGGAGTCTTTGCACTGAGGAAGGCCTGTCCCATCGTGAGGAGCGTGCTGCTGTGGAGGTGCTGGGCATGGCTCACAGGCGTCCACCTGAAAGAGAAACATTTCCCATGGGATCAGAAAATGGGGATTTGAAGTTTAGCACCTCTCTGGTTCTCATTGGAATGCCTTGACCGCTGGGCCAGGGGTTATTTTGAGCTGTAATTTGCGTGCTGACTCCTAGTGGCTTGTTCGTGCATGTATATGGGGTTTTGGTTTGGACTCCTTTTCTTTTTTGCTGTTCTTGCTCTGTCTTGCTTCAGCAATTCTGTGGTGGTATTAAGAACTCTTTCCTGATAAAAACTTGTGCATGTGGTCGTTGTGGTTTTATTTTTATTATCCGTTAACAGACGGGCGTCTGCAGAAAGCTTTGGATTCCATAAATTGTCATTTCCTGGTGGAAAGATTCTGTATTTATAAAAACAAAACCCAACTAATTATCCTTTAACTTTTGGGCTCTTTTCTCCCTGTGTAAAGCGAAAGATAAAGCCCAATTAGAAACATCAATTAGGGAGTTATGACTTACGGTGCAGCTCTGCAGGGGCTGTAAGTGATGTCTTTGCTGTTATTAAATGAAGAATATGAATTGCCTTTCACTTCTCTGTGGCTGTGCTTTATACAGAGTAACTCCTAAATGTATTTTAAAATGAAACCTACCAAGTGTCTCTTGGGAAATACACCCTTTTGAAAAGTATAACTGTGCATGTTTTCTATGGTAGCTTTCTTCTTCAAATAAAGAAAGAACATTGCTCTCATACTTGCTGCTTCTGTAAAGGAGTCTGTTAGTTAAGGGAGCCAAGTGCAGACTTAATGGAAAGGACATCTCAGCTCTCCCAAGTTGCGGTGACCAGTGTTACATCTCATGGTTGTAACTACGCAATCTCCTCTCTGTCCAGGGCAGGCATGGTCCCGATATAGGAATATCTTGCACTTGATATAAATACCTGCAAACTAACAAAAATGCTTACGAGATTTAAGCATCTCAGACCATCAGGATTCTTCCCCTCTTCCTTCTTCTCACACATTTGTCTTTAGATTGGTAAAATACACTTTTGCATATATTTCCAAAATTCATCTCAAGATGATGCTGAGAGAGAGATATTTTTATGACTGTATTTCATCTCTTTTTTAAAAAAAAACTTAAGTGAGAGATCCACTGACCCCAGTCCCTGATCAAGATTGTCACCTGGGGCTAATAGTTGCAGGCCCAGGAAACCTTTACACTTCTGTCTGTTACTGTCTGGTGCTCGGCAAGATCCTGAAGATTCTGATTTTCTTCCTCTAAAGAGAACTGAATTAATGCTGCTGGCATCAGAGTCAACATCTGAATACTGTCAGCCTGCAAGACGCAGCCGGGTGCTGGGTTTGTGCAGTTTAAGGCTCTGATGTGCGAGCAGTGGTGCCTGCGGCTGCAGGAGCCGGTGTTCCTGCCCACCCCAGCTCTGCACAGGAAGGATGACGTTTTCCCTGGCGAGGATGCCCCATTGCAGAAGGGTGACATCTTACTCTGTTAGACGTTGTGCGTCAGACCTCTGGGAAACGTTGCATTAGAGTAAGGGTGCGTGTGAGAGCTGTAACCCAGTGCTGACTCCAACAGCGCTAGGTCCCTCAAAAGCAAGGCCAGCCGTGGTCATGGCAGTGCCGGTGGAGAGGCTGGGGCTGGTGGGTGATGAGCTTCTTACCCCTGCCCATGTGAGAAGAAGGTGGTTTCTGCCATAAAGAGGAGGTTTTGTCCATGCTTCCCCCCTCTGCCGGTGACAGCGTGACAGCCTCCCAAGAGCTCCCGTCCACCCCGTGGGCTCTCAGCCACAGCACGTTCTCTTGCCTCGGCAGCTCTCCTCTGCCTCTGGCCCCTCGTCCTTGCAGCCACTGCCTTCAGATCTGCCTGCCTGCCTGGGAGATCTTGGGCTGACTTTGCCTAATAATTGAGGCAAATGGTTGATTGCTGTTCCCTCGGGCTAATTGCATATATAATCCATTCTTTCCTCTTCTCCAGGGCTCCTCTTTCCACAGAATAAAACACAACCAAAAAAAAACCGGCAAAAAACCAAGCAAAGAAACAGACGTTGCTGTTTAAATGGGAAGAAATAAAGGGCAAAAAGAAGGAGAGGCCGGAGTAATTTTCTACACTCGCTCTTTCCAGATGCACTTCCTGGTGCTATGAGGAACATTTGCTTTTCTCTGTAAACAGCAGAACTTCCCATCGCTGGGAAACTAAACTAAACATTGAGAACTGCTCAGTAGCATTGAATCCCAGAAGGATGCTGTTGCAGCATTACTGTGAGACTGACTGCTTTCATCTACTAGGAAAAATAAATCCCTTGCTTTTTGACCCCTCCTGTAGTTCATTGCCGTTGCTATTTGCCAGGAATCTCCCTCTGGTTCTGCTCAGAGTGACGGTCACTGCCATCATATGATTATACGCTAATTGTATCAGATAAACATTACTGGGAGCCTAGTAGTTTAACCAATTTTCTGCACCCATTTTTGCACATCTACATACATATGAGTTAACTTGGTTTAATCTGGAGTGAAACTGTGCTGATCAATTCTGAAAATAAATAAATGATTGTTAAGGGTAAATGCCTGCTGTCTGCTTAGGAAGGAGTATACTGTTTTGTTTGATCTAGTTGTGCCGAAATTAGTGTTCAATATGATATGTGGTGGGTTTGACAGGCAACTGTATTTAGTTATTTATTTCTGAAACACTAAACAAGTAATAGCAGTTAAGAAGTCCCTGTTCAGTGCTCTGGAGCTGTGGACGTGTTTGAGTAGCTGAATGTGATGATTCTCCTGGGTTAAATCCATGTAAGTGTTTGGTTGTTGAATTCTTAGTGACTAGTGAAATAAAATATTATGAATGTCAAGTTAGAAAATGAGTCCTATTGTGGTTATCAACATACACATTCAGTATGTTCATTTTGTGCTAATGTTTAAAGTTTTGTGGCTTGTCTCGTAACATCCAAAAACAAAGTTAAGAGAAGAAAAGGAGTGTCAAAACTCTTCATATGTCCTTCAGAAATCGTGCGGGAGCATATGTTACATGAAGTGTGATAATCCCCCAGGAGTACTCTCATCTTGGATATTGGAGAGCCTTGGGTTAGCGTTGGAGTGTGCTACAATTTGTACTGGCATAAGGGACTTCAGGGTAACATATAAATATGCAAAAGCATATTTGAAATGAAGATAAGAAACAGGGGGCCTTAATCTCAGTTACACGAAGTTCTCTCTGCACAGCTTGGAATTACAGGAAGCCTTTAACCTGAGACTAAATTGTTTTCTCTGCCTTCCTGTAAATGGGAATTGGGCTCGGAGTTCGCATGGTAACCAAATGAGTGAAGAACCAATATAAAGTCCAGCACTTAAAAGCAGGTGTAATAGGTTGCTAGTTAAAATGAGGTGGATGGTACTTCTGATAAATGGCAGTTTGGACACTCCCCAAATGTTTAGAGTACATAATATTTACTGTTTGCATTTGTCTGTGGGCTAATAGGTAGAATGAGGGCATCACTTTGCTAAATTTTCGCTCTGGTAATCTTGCAGTAAATATGCTGGAATGAAAATGGATGATTTCTGATTCTTGAGGTAGTATTTCTCTGAATTGCGTTTATTAATTAATTTTATGCAAGGTAAAAAGTGGTTCTTAATCTTCTGGCCCATACTAAAATCAGTAGCCTAAATATGGTGGTAATAGGTGTATGAATAGCTGTACTTTAGAGTGGGTTTTTGTATCTCCTTTTTTAAGACCAAACTCCAAACCCTACCTCCTCTTTGGAAGAAGAATCTGATTTTATGAAAAGTTGTATGAAAAATTCTTTTCTTGGGGGGGGAAGAAATTGCAGAGCAGTCCTTCTGAAATTACTTCTTATTTTTCTAAATAAAGGTTTTGTTGCTAGTATGTAATGCTGTTGGGAAAAAAATCACTGAATAATGGAATATGACTTTTGTAGGCATTTTCTAACCTTTTAACTGCCAAAACTGTTATCAGAACATGAAATAATTAGTATGGATCTTAACAATTGTATTTGTTACCTTTTAGATGCGCAAACAAAATTCAGAATTCTGTGTAAAAATAAGATGGAAAAAAATAAAATTTTACTTCTCACCTCTTTTTTTTTTTTTCCTTTTCCTTTTTATAATAGGGCTTTATTTGTCCTCTCTGTATGAAGTCTCATGGATCAGCTGAGGAGCTGTTCAAGCACTATGAAGCAGTTCATAATTCTGGCATTGATTCAACTCATGGAGGGGAAGGTCATCTGTCACCGGAAAGGTGCAACAGTACTCATTTGTGCATGTGCTTTTGTGTCAATGTTGAGCTGCTTCTAATTACACTGAAGGATGTATTAATATGAACACTTAATTATGTAGTCAAGTATTTAAATGTTCATGCCTCATTTCCAACTACAGTTAAAAAGCAGCTTGAAACTTGCATTGACTGATACTGATCTGACAGTAAATGAAAATCAGATACACATGTTTATATTGTTAATTAAATCACCTGTTTCTCATGCAGCTGGCAATGCAATATTACACACTGGAATGATTTTTAGGAGTGTGGCAGAAAAAATACAGGTTCCTCCTAATTTCTGGCACAGAGCTGAAATTTCATCTTTTGAGGGTGGGGGATGACAACCTTGAAGATAGAGGACAAACCTGATTTTGTCCCTGGGTAGTTAGGGTACGTACTGGGTAATTACAACATCAGTATTTGCCTAAATAGGTTCCCGTATTACCTTGTTATCTGCAAATCTGAGAAGTTTCTGTCTGTGTCACTAATTCTCCTGTGTTCCAGAAACATCACGTTGAACTTCAGAAATCTTCTCTAATTGATTTTATTTAACTGTTTGGTCAAAACTGTATTGTTAAATATATTCCTAGGAAACATATCAGGTTGTTTTATTTTTGAGAGCAGCGGTATGTAGCAGGAACTGATAATGGGAAACTTTCTCTAGAAAAGTTTAACTGAGTAGTCTGCCTGTGTGGGAGTAATCCCTTGTGTTGGTTTGGGGAGCTTTTTCGTAGGGGTAAAATTTACGTAGATTTCCTTTTGCTTCCTGCTAGTTCTTTTTCTGTTGAGTGTTTATTTTGGACTGTTATAAATGACAGTCCATGCTGCTGTTTTGTCACACTCCCCCAAACTCTCTTGGTGTGTACACAGCAGTGTCAGAGTGAGCAGCTGCCTGTGGCCTCATTCAGCAAGCGGACGTACACACCGCGCAACCCCGCGGGTGGTCACCGGCTAACGCTGGCTTCTGCTGATGCTGGGAAGTAAATGGTTCAAATGTTTTGTCACTAGTAGAACTGTGACCCAAAATGATAAATAATAACATTGAAAGAAATACATGTATTTATGTAACTAACTCAAGAGAGGATGGTTCTTCAGTGAGAAAAGAGTGTGGAAGGTAACATACTTCAGTTGTTAACTGAACGAAGATCCGTATCTCCCCAGTATTGTGCAGAGCTGGCAATCCAGTAAGAGCCAGCATTAGCAGAGGTCATGTCTTCATGCACGGATGGGCCCTTCCTTGTGGATAGCTGCCTTCTCTCCCAGCTGCTGCAACAAAAGAAATCAAAATTAGGGCTTTATATAGGAGAAAGTGGTAGGGTACTAGTGGAGTTCTATTGGGTTTCCTATGTGCACAATTATTCAAGAATGAGTATGTCTTCTCTGTCTGATTTAAGTCTTTTCGGAGCGATATAACATAGACCTGAAATACTCTTAGTAGAATGATAGCATTCACATGGGGCAATTATTGGTCATAACTGTATTGTTTATATAGTTTATGAAAAATTTATTTTTATGCCTGCAAGTTTCCAATGTCAACCAGATGTTGGCTGGTGAAATTTATTTATTTTTTGCCTGGCTCTTGACAGTTTAGGGACAAGTGGTTTTGTTTTCTCTCATATAATTGAAAAAGTGGACAAGGTCAGGGAGGTTGGGTGGAGTGAAGGGAGTCTGGTGAGAGCTGTTGTGTTACACATGAGCTATTTCTTCCTACTAGTGTGGCATTCTTTAATGTTTCTCAGTTGCATGCTTGCTTGAGAAAACTCTCATTCAACATAAACATGTTTTACCAAGACTTGGAATACCGCATTAAAGAAATATTGCCGCCTGCAGCAGGGAACCATTCTGTTAGCGGTCTAGGAGTGAAGCTTACTTGTAATTCATAGGACCAAGACTGGGAGGTAAAGTTCATTATTTAGTCAATAGAGAAGGCTAGGTACTATGGATTACATTGTGTCCTCTTCCCCCCACCCTCCCAATAAACTACCATAATTAAGTGCCAAGAGTAAATTGTGTAACTCTGCCCAGCACGATTTATCAAGGCCATTGGTACTTGGTGCTAGGATGGAGGCACTGGCATTACAGGTGGAGAACAGAGTAGAGCATAAGGAAAAGGTAGTAAGGATTTGCCAGGTGGTGAGGCTGAGGAGATGTGCTGAGAGGAGGAAGGGATTGTAACAGCCCTAGCAGAAAAGGAGGTTTGATGAGGATTTGCATGGCAGTAAGAAAAACAAAGTTACAGTGTCTAGAGTGATCCCTTACACTTCCCTCCCCCGCCCCTTCATTTTCCACTGGTCAGTTAAACTGAATTTAAGTTTCATCTTAAAACTGGCAAGCAAAACTGTGTTGGGAATATCAAGGCAACTACTGTAGAAGGGTTCTTGCATTACAAACTCTCTCCCTTCCCCTCCTCCTCCCCTCCTTCTTCCCCTCTACTACAAACTATTTTTATACAGCTCAAAACCTTTTATCTGCTACAAAGACCAGAACATCTTAAATGCTTTAGTATTGCAGATCTGGTATATGTTCAGGCCCAACTTCAATATAGTTAGCTGTTTCACCTGCCAGAGATTTCATTTATAATCTTATGTGTGAATATTAGCTGATTTACTTACTCTTACTTATACTGGTTTATTTACTCTTATACTGGTGAGAAAGCTGCTCCTTCTTCTCCACCCACAATCAATGTATGGGTTTTGGATTACAGCTACACCTGTCTCAGTAAAGTTGTATTTGCAAACCTCCAGTGATGTCTCACACAGGCAGAATAACACGTAAATAGCAGAAAATCTTCCTCTGAAAAAAATGAGCCTCCCAATATGTTTTTTTGCCATTAAAATTGGTCCACCTTGGAGTTCTTGCGTAACTGGTTCAAGTGCGTGTGTTTCACTTGCTTCTTGATGACCCTCACCTCATGTTAATATGCTAATGTAGGCTGAATCTATTCCTTCCCAGTTTAGCTAAAGAATAGCTTGCTTTGGTGTTTTTTTTCTCCTAAGTATGAGATAATTTAAAAGAACATCTGTGGAGGAGGGGATAATGCAGCACAGCAGCAATAAAATTGTGTGGTATAAAACTGAGAGAATTTGTTGGCATTGGCACCCACACACATATATTCTGTGTACTCCTCAGTGTCGCTACTGCAGAAACAATAAGAAAGGATATGTTTGCATTATTTTAATGACCTGTGTATTCTACATTTGGAGTGGCTGTATCTCAGTAATGCAACATTATCCTTGTATGTATAGTTGTGCAATTCTGTAAGGAGACGTGTGATTTAGAAGGGTGCTGTCTAAATCAATTAGTGACAATTTTAGCCTTAGATCTTGTGTTCTTACATGACTGGAAGCTTGAGCACAAAATTTGAGAATTTAAAATCCTAAGGCTTTGAACAGTCAGACCATTAAGTGAGTGTATCTGTGGGGCATACCGACTTGCTGTGTGGATGAAAAATTATGTAACTGCATATTTCAAAAGGAGTAAGATAGCGTGCGGTCTCTTAGCAGTGTTCCTTTACATGGTACAGAAAGTGAAGGAGAATAGACCTGTCCTCTTCATAAAAAGGCATGCAAAACAGTTAGATGTCCCAATGCATAGCTTTGCCATTCTGAGCTCATGTGGTTCAGCTGATGCACTGATTTAGATTTACATTCTGTTTTCATGAGACTTTTTGCGTATCTATTTCTTTGCTTATCCAATTAATATGTTTAGCATTTTTCAAGTGATATGCAAAGTAAACTAATAAGTATCTATTAACCCGGTTTGTTCCAAGTTTCAAAAAATCTAAAAATAACTATTTATAATTATGTAAGTTATATTTATGTAGTACATGGCTTTCATTCCAGTTATTTAATACACGTTATAACCTGTATGTAATTGGCAAAATATAACCACTGTGTATTCATTTTCTCCACTCCGTGGATATATTTATTCAGAGATGAAGTATCACTGCTCCGACAAGAAGTCCAAGATTTGCAAGCTTCGCTAAAGGTCGGAAATGTATTTTACTTGCACTTGGTTCTTTGTTTTAAATTGCAGAGTGTTCCACTGTCTTAAACAACCAAATTTACAGTTCTTTCTCCCCCATCTCCTTTTTTTTTTTTATTTCATTTTTTGCCCCTAGGAGGAGAGGTGGTATTCAGAAGAGCTGAAGAAAGAACTAGAGAAATTGCAGGGGCAGCGGCAGCAAGTAATTGCTTTAAAATACTTGAAGCAGGTTTATCATCAGCATTGACATTGAAGATTAATACCTTTTTTGTAAGGCACGTGGCCTGATTTAGTTAGTTCCATAATTTGAATATTGACATGTTCTTGAAAACAAAGCTAGTTATCTCTCCACAATGTAACTGTATATATAAATCTGAAGAACAAAGTTGGAGTAGATAATGATTCTTCCATACTACTCAGTACAAGTTCAGTTCAGACTTTTCCTTCTGTTGGGCTTATTCAGAACTCAGTTTATTAAACGTGGTGTTTCATCTGTTTACGAGAAAGGGCGATGGGGTCTTTCTTGTAAGAACTTTTGGAGAACTGTAGTATGTTTTCACAGATGTCCAGATGAACTGAACAAAAAGGCAAGGTAAATTGTGGTGTGTTGTGCCCTAAAGAAGCTCTCACTTCTTTTATTACTATGAGCTACTTAGATACTGGATTGTTACAGACCTCAGAAATTGCTTTGTAACAGAATGCCTTCTCAGAATGTATTTAATGATGTCTGTAACCTCTGTTTTTAGGGCAGATTTCAATATTGAGGAAAGGGAGGGGGAGGGGATTGCTACTGGAGTCTTGCAAGTCTGGAAGCCTGATAGTGTAGTGATACATGAAATGGAAAATCATCTTGGCCTTTTCCAGTCTTCCAGATATAACTGTTTGAAAGCAGGTATTTTTATATTGGTGTGCAGTATTTGAGCACAGAAGTCTTTATTTCCTTGTCTTTTCCAAAAACTGGATGAACTTTGGAATTAGTAGTTTTTATTCCTACTGTCTAATGATGCACTTATTCTGTTTTCTTAAGGATTCTAAGTCTGATGGATTGACAACGGCTACGTCTACAGGTGGCTAACATTTTATTATATTAATTTCTGCACTGTTCTGGAATTTCTGAATTTTTTTTCAGTGTAGCTTTTAGGTTTATGAAAAAGCACTTTTGGTAAATTAAAGAGCTAGAAAGCTGGAAAGGTACAATTACTGCAAAAAAAGTTCATTGTAAGTGCTTAAGATAGATAGCTCTTCATAGTTATAATCTGGGGAAATGTTCCAGAGGCTCGGGGTTTGTAATTTCTAGAAGTGAGACAGGAGTTCTCCTGACTCTGAAAGGAGTTCTCATGAGTAGTTTTGAACATGTTTTTAATCATTTCATGTATTCAAGCATTCAGTACAAATCTGTTGCTCAGAAAGACAGATTGTTGATATTTAAACTATAGCATTTGTCAGTGCTGGTTTTATTTAGTGTTTTTCTGTACTCACTGCTAGCAAAGAAAACAATGAATTTTTTTGTTTGTTTTTTCGTTTTGCAGACCAATAATTTTTGCTCTGTGTTTTTCTCCATGAGGCACTCATGGAATAAAATTTTCCTTATGTCTGCATAAAGTATCTGACTGATCATGATTAAAGAGCTTTTAATCGCAGTTCAGCAGCATGTTGCAGTGACCTGAAGTGCTATTTGTGACCAGTGAAAATCAATTTGTACTTAATCCTGCAGACTACTCAACTAGCAGCAGGTTCCAGCATCATGCTTGTAGATATTTAACTTCAGTATAGTTTTTCACTTTGCGAAGCTAATTGGATGTTAAGTGAATTTGGATTGCTTATTTACCTGCTGTGGTTTGTTATGGGCATGAGTAACTGTATTGTCCTAGCTATTCCAGAAAATAACACTGTTCTTTTTATGGAAATAGAATCATTAGAACGGCAACTAGAAGAGATCCAAGTAGAAAATTTTAACATTAAGCAAATGAAAGACTTATTTGAGCAAAAAGCAGCACAACTGGCCACTGAAATTGTGGGTAAGTATATTAACATGAGGTCTGATTCTGTTCTCTACTTGTGCAACTTGTGCAAGTGACCATTTATTCAACTTCCTTCTTATTAGATCTTAAATCAAAGTATGATGAAGAAATCAGCCTTCGGGAAGGTGCAGAACAGAAAGTGACAAACCTGACACAAGAACTGCAGAAGGAGAGGAGTACAGTGGAAGACTTAAAGACAGAGCTGGTATTCACATCACACTAATGTTTTTGTTATTTTCAAGTCAAGGAAGGGATATGCTTAAATGCTTGCAAATGCAGTTTTAAAGCAGTCAGACTCTGTTGAACTTGGAAACGTCTGCTTGTGGGCTGAAGAAGTTCAGAACACCATTGTTTCTGATCTGTTTCACTGACCTACATTTTCAGTGTTTTTCCAGTGAGGAAATATGTGTTGTTTCTGACTTCTATATTAAAATTTATACTATATTATAGTCTGCTTGTTTGATGCCCTACCCTTCAGCAATTTTGCAGGGTATTGCATGTATAGATGTCCTGTGCTGGCCTGTACTTGGAGCATGCCATTGCTGACTTCCACAGCTGTCTTTAGATCACCCTTTTTCCATGAGTTGTTACGCTCTGACTGTCCCTGGGCAGCTGCATTCATAGGAAGTGCTCAGAGAGGTGTTTTGTGACATGGTGGCTGAAGGGCTGGCAGCCGTCATCGCCATGCCTATGTTAATGTTGTCCCTCTTGCGCTTGGCTGGTAATACCAATGTGTGTGTATTCCAGGATGTTGGCTCCTGGTGACTTTTATATACAGCCATGGCTCCAGGGAGCAATCCCAGTGACTCAGCAGTCGTGCCGCTTCTAAAGCAGTAGTGAATGGGACTTCCTAGTTTCTCCCACTCAACCACTGCTTAGACTCTGGAGGAAGGTGGGACTCCTTTATTCCCCTTCTTCCCTGTAGTCGTCTGCCCCGAAGGGTTCATGAGTCCCTCTTGGCCCTGTCTAGCCACTGGACCTATCCATTCCTCTTTGTTTAGTTGTTTCTTGTCTTCCTTCTTCTGCATTCTTACCCTTTTCCTGTACCTTTTCTCTTCTAGATGCCAGCACTTCCTTTTCTCTTCTTTCTTCAGTGCCCAGTATTGCCTTTCCCCTCCCTTTTCCGTCCATAGCTTTTTGCTTTGAGGGATGTTTTGGTACTTTAGATGTAATTACCAACAGATTTTACCTATGGGTCTGGTATGAGGCATGCCTGACAGTTCCTTCAAGAAGTTTCCTTCAGCTGCCCTTTTTTTGTCTGTTGTGGTTTTCTGAAATAGTTCTTGAAGACACAGGCAGTACCATTATAAAAGTCTGTGTAGTGCTGGATTGTTATGTGTCTCAGTCCTGAGAGGGGCTTGTGAGTATTGCAGCAGTAAACTATAGTGACTTCAGATAAATTTCTTGCATGGATTCCCTGTCACTTCAATGTTTTCTCCCAGGGAAAGTCTCCCTCCTGTACCTAGCGATCTACCAGAAATTTAATCTTTGAGACCTTATCCCATTTGTCAGATTTGATTGAAATCAATCAACAAGTTCAAAGTTTAGTAGGCAAGAACTGACAACCAGCCATTAAATCCTGTTTCCTTTGGGAATGATACATAGTTTTCTGTGGGTTTGTTTTTTGGTTTTCTGTTTTGTTTTGTTTTCTTTTTTTTTTTTCTCTCTTTTTTTTTTCCTCCCAGCTGTACTACTGTATATGTCACCTTGTCTATAAATTGATGATTTGAAAGATTTTTAGAGATGACATTGACACTGGAAGCATGTCTGCCAACAGCATGTTGTTCATTGCTACTCCTTTACTTCTCAGCTACAAAGGCCTGGTATGGAAGATGTGGCTGTTCTGAAAAAGGAGCTGGTCCAAGTTCAGACGCTGATGGATAAAATGACACTGGAACGTGAGAGAGAATCTGAAAAGCTGAAAGACGAGTGCAAGCACTTGCAGGCAGAGCAGGCTAACTCGGAGGTAACAGTCATACCTAGAGATGTGTGTGTTAGCTTTGCCATGATTTTCCTATGAAAATGGAAAATATTAATTCATCATAATGAAAAAGCCTCTTTCTTAACTGAATCTTCTAACTTACCTAATAGACATGTTTCTTCATTACAATAAATTGGGTACGTCTGTCAATATCTACCCTCCAAAAGCCCCCATGCTTTTCGTTGCAAAACCTTTCCATAAAAAGTTATTACAAGAGCCCAATAGCAGAGGAAAAAGCCACTTGGCGGAGCTGCGCTCTTTCTATTGGGAGAGAGAAATAGAGCAATATCTGTGTGATTCAAAGACTTGTTTCCCTTATTGAGTACATGCGGGTAAAAACGTTGTTACTGAAAATGATGGTTTTGGTTAATATTTGAGTTGATATGTCTGAAAATGGATGCTAGAGTATTAAAATATATAAAAAGAGATTATTAATACAAAGTAGGTAATAATGTGAATATTCTTATAGGACATTTGATTCTTGAACTTACACAAGATTTAAAAATCTCAGTGGATATTGTAAACAGGTTTTCATTTTTGTTTCTTCTAGTTTTTACTGTCAAATGGGAAGCCTTTTTACACCTATGATTTATTGTAGGAATATTTTGTGTGTAAGGTACAAATCTGTTCTGCACACATCCCCCTGCCCCAGTCCACTGCATAATAGCCTCCAGGTGTTGCCTGTTACCCGCTAGAGCAGAAAGTGAGTGACTGCCAGGCCTCACCATGTCTTAAGGTCAAGATGTCAGGATGTCACCTGTAATCTGTTTCCAGGCAACAGCACCTTAGTTTTCCTCTCTTTGTTGTTGCAGTCTAAAGTAGAAAATAAAATCTATTGTTCTCATGTTAGTTGCTTTTTTTTTTATACATTTTTCCTCCTTTTTTTCCTGGATTTAAACCTTTTAATTTAATCCCTTTTAAAAGAGACCTCACCATCTACTTGAGTTGCTGAATATGCTGGTTTCTTCAGAAGTACTTTGTGAAGGCTTGCCTCTGCGTTGGCTGAGTCAGTGGAAGAAGCTTTAAATTGCTGATGGGAGATTTGAAAACATACAGAATTGATGATAACTCTGTGTTTAAGGAAGCAAAACTAACTGCCCCTCCCATAGCAAATATTCGGTTTTCTTGGTTTTGGTTCCCTGCTTTCCTGCCAGTGAGCACTTACACTTCCATGCAAGATGGAGAAAAAGGGATATAACAGCTCTGACTTGGATCTTTAAGAGGGAACCTTACTCCTCACACTGTCTCAGATCCCTCCTGGCTAAAGCCTGTTTGATGTTGTTTACCATGACAGTGAGGGAAATCTCTGACAGAGATAATGGCAAAAAATCCTAATAAAAATAGAGTATCACCGAAAAGGCTTTTGTCTAACATATTATTTATTCTACTGAGGAGTTGGTGAACCCATACCCTGCAGAAGAACTCTCTTGCTGGGTGTTGTTGCATCTCACTAGTGGGTTGGTTGGTATAATTTTACTAATGGATGACTTGACAGTGTAATGATCTTCACTGAAGACTGTCAGCTGTGTTTGAGACGTTTTAATTTTGCCCTTCCCCTTTTCTATTGTCCCCCACCAATGCAGCAATGCCAGCAAAACTTGTCAATGCAGAGCTGTGGTCCCTACTGAGGTGGGGTCCTTGCAGAATTCCCCAGCTTACATGAGGGAATGCCTAGAGTTTCTGCAGGGCTCCTAGATTCCTCTGTCCTGTTGAGATTTGTGGCTGTGAAGGATTCCTGACATCTTGTTATTCTGGGGTTTCATGTGCCCTAGATTTCAGAACTGCAGTTTTAGCTTTCTATTTCTTCATTTGCACTGCAGAGCTTTAGAGAAGTGCTGCCTGGCATTATTCTGAACTCTTAAGGGCTTTCCCTCCTGCCTCCCCCTGCAACAGATATGTTGATCTCCAGGAATTGTGCAAGGGTACAGTATTGTACTAAGCATGAATCTACCATTGTTTTCAAGTTAAAATTATGTATGCCAAGAGCTTCATCAGGCGTGAAAAAAGGAATATCACAGTTGGAGTTATGAATATAATGTGGTTATGTGACCATGTAAGTTGCTGCATAATTGTAATTTGGTTTTAACTGTGAGATCCCACAACTATGCTGCAGAATTTAAATTTCATTTCAAAGTACTGTCTCTGTAGTCTTTTGTGGTTTTGGATATTTAGTTTTCATTTGAAGATAAAATGACATAGTGACAAAGTGAAAAATCTTTCATCTTAAAACATTCTCACAGAAGCATGAATTGCTCCTGTTCCCCCAAATGTTTAAGTTATTAGCCATAACTAGACATAACTAGCCATTTTAAAATGTAGCTTTAAAGTGCAGCCTTTAACAGGAAAAAAGACAAATGAAGAAGGTTTTTTCAGTCCTCCTGGAAGTAACGGCAGATGGGCAGAAGGCTGCATGATGCCCCTGGCTGTTACTATGTGTTCATACAAGAAGTCTTAGATGTATGGAAGGGTTATAAAATACATTGCAGCAATTATAATAATATCAGATGTCTGTGCAGTATCATGAGTATGTATGAACCAGAGAAGACCGAGTTGCTTTCTGGCAGAACATGGTAAGCAGTGGCAGTCTGATTCTTCTCAGAAGTGTTGCTGTCTTCTCTGCTTAATTCCAACATATGACAATAATAGCCCAAGATGTGTTCAAAATAAAAGCTTTTTCTTTTCTTCTGATGTAAAGTGACAGATCAGGCGTTTTAAAAAAATAAAAATTACTCAAAGTCATAGTGGTGAAAACTTCTTTACTTCTCTTAAAAAAAACACAGCTGTGAAAAGTGTTAGCCATAAGAAAACAGGAAATGGAAGTCTTTCATTGGAAGTCCTTCGTTCTGGCCATAAAAGTTTGGCAATGTTACATCTCAGCTTTGCTCTTTAAGACCACCTCAAGGGCTGAAAGAGTAAAATGGTTCTTACACCATCCCTGGCTATTTTGCTGAGCTGACTGAGGATACATACATTAATATTGATTTCCAAAGTGAGACTTCTTTAAAATAAGTTAGATTTATGGCTTGGGTGAAGAGAATAACAAAGATCATCTTAAACCCTATGTGAGCATCTTCAAATGCTGCAGGAGAGGGCAGACGTGTTCTGTATACCTCTACAATTGTCACCTAAATGTATTAATTGTTTTCTTTTCTTCTTTTATCATAGAGTCATAGAATAGTTTGGGTTGGAAGGGACCTTTAAAGGTCATCTAGTCCAACCCCCCTGCCATGGGCAGGGACATCTTCAACTAGACCAGGTTGCTCAGAGCCCCGTCCAACCTGACTTTGAATGTTTCCAGGGATGGGGCATCTACCACCTCTCTGGGCAACGTGTTCCAGTGTTTCACCACCCTCATTGTAAAACATTCTTCCTTATAGCTAGTCTAAATCTACCCTCCTTTAGTTGAAAACCATTCCCCCTTGTCCTGTCGCAACAGGCCCTGCTAAAAAGTTTGCTGCCTTCTTATAAGCCCCTTTAAGTACTGAAAGGTGCAATAAGGTCTCCCCGAAGCCTTCTTTTCTCCAGGCTGAATAACCCCTCAGCTCCCTCAGCCTTTCTTCATCGGAGTGGCGTTCCATCCCCCTGATCGTTTTTGTGGCCCTCCTCTGGACCTGTTCCAACAGGTCCATGTCTTTCTTGTGCTGAGTGTTCCAGAGCTGGATGCAGTACTCCAGGTGGGGTCTCACCAGAAAGAAATGTTGGGTGTTATGCCTTATTTCAGTGTTGCACCTGAAACTCTGGTGTCTGGATCTCTCAGATGAATGTTCATTCTGATCTACTCCTTCCATGTTTAGTTTTTCACTATAGTGACTCCTGCATAGTAAACACATTATGAAAACAGCTGCACTGCTGTGGAGCTAAGCATTTCCATGAATCTCTGCCGATTAGGATTTGTTTCAGTATCTGATAAATCTTCATAAAATACAGGGCCTAGACTTGATTGTTAAGTTGAGTGCCCACAGAATTAAACAAGATTAGTAGATTAAATTATGGGCAAATTTAATAAAGCCAGGACTGTTTTTTTTTCCACTAAGCAAAGGCATTAAAAACACTGGAATATTTGAAAATAAATCTGAGGAAGTATGTCTACTAACAGCTTTTGTGACTGCTTATTTCCATCTTTCATCCATCCATTTTATTTTTTCTGCTTTCTAACGGAGACACTTAAATTTGAGGTAAATTTTTTTGAAAGCTTTTTATTCTTATAGTAGATTTCTGTTGTATCAAGATAATTTCAAGAGGTTGTTAAACAGATGCATTCCTGTTTGCTTATGGTTCATTAATCATACAGCCACATCAGCCAGACAATATCAGGAATGAATACTCATCCATGATATATTTCCACGTTAAGAATGGAATGTGGGACAGGCTTATTGAATTGTGAATGAGAGAAGTGTATCTTTATGCATATAAATTGCAATTCTAGTTTGAAAGGCTGCAGTGGTGTCCTTAGCAAGCTTCTGTGCATTTTCTGCATTATATTCTCTCAGTAGTGAAATATCCTAACATATCTCAGAAATATCTGAGAAAACTCTGTTTTCTGAGAACATCCTGGAATGTTTGTCTGCCAAAGACAGATCCCAGGATGTGTTTTAGCTAACAGCTCTGTCACAAAACAGCCTTGTAAAGCACAGCATTACAGAAAGTCAGAATTAATAACACTTTGTAGACATATACTATGTTCATATGTTCTCTTTGGTCTTTCTTTTTCTGTAGGGAGATTGTAAATAGTATGTTTATTGTCTGCTACTTCTGTTCTACTGCTTTAGTTCATTCTTGAATTCAGTATTTGTACCTTTGTGCTGAAATCTGTGGTTATGAGAACAATAGGAAAGAAAACTTCTTTAAAAAGGTCACTATTATGTAGTGTATTCAAAGCGAGTGCATTCATACACAGCATGCTTTAAGGCAGCCATTGTTACCCATCTAAAGTGCTTTTCTTGTTTGCTTTCATTACTGTAGTCAAATACTGTACAGTCATTGATATATTCTGTTTTGTACCAATCCTGTTTAATGAGGTGGTATTGTTATTCTGATTATGCTGGCCTGCAGGGTTGATGTGTCCAAAAGTCACACACCAAGTTTGCATCAGATGCCAGGCTCACTTCTAGTGCCTTTTCCAGTACGTTTCCCTTACCAGGGAGGCAAAGCTTTTGGCTGTATAACTGCAATGACTTGGGGGGGTTTCACCTTGAGCTAGAACTGCGATAATGATTAATGGATAATCTGTTGTGATTTTCTTCGGTTGTGGGCTCAACCTGGCATTTTCTATTGGACTGGGGCAAATTTATGTCTTCTGAAATAGGACATGAATGCATCTGAGCTGGGAAATTATGCTTAGTGGTACTTCTGTAGCTGATGGAGCTCTGAGATGAGTTTGCAGGTGATTTTTTTCTTAAGCTGTTTATTTGTATACAAAATGCTTTTTATTTTGCTACCAGACATCTTGCTTTTGTTTGGGTTATGCATGCAAAGCTTTGTTTTAAGTGCGGATTTTTCTGTTTGTCTGTTCAGGCTACCATTAACCAGTTAAGAGCTGAACTTGCCAAAGGACCTCAGGAGGTAGCTGTATATGTTCAGGAGCTGCAAAAACTTCAAAGTTCAGTCAAAGAGCTAGAACAGAAAAACCAGGTGAGAATGCTGTTGTTTCCTATGCTTGTCAGTTCACATTAAAATGGAAACACATCACACATTGCCTTGGGAAGAGCTGAAGACTGTGGCAAAACACTTCTTGGTGTTGCAGAAGTTGAGAATTCCTTTGCCATTTTGCTTAACACGAGGGATATCGTAATGTACAAGCAAACACTATATTTTAATGATCATCAGTATGTTACAACTGAAATCCTCAGTGTTGTTATGATCGCAGATTTCTAATTGCTGCAGTGTATGCTTACCTATCATTAAGCAGTATTGCCATCTCACACATTAAAAGAAAAAAGCAGTACTGTGAAATATTACAGTGTTTACCTAAAAATCGTAATTCAGAAGACATTTTGAACTCTCTTCATTGGTCTTCCAGTTTCTTAGCTTTTAGATTGCACTCCTGTCATACTTTCTGGCCTTTCATCAGAGTCATGAAGGGTAGAAAATTGAAATAAACTCCAGAAGCTTCTCAGCTTATAAGTATTCCTTGAGAGCTTTTATCAAAGGCTTTGAACTTGCTGCATTTTGTATTTGCATTAAGAAAGCATGTGTTGTGGCGTAATAAACGGAGGTAAGGGAGGAAAGGAGACAAGGAGAGAGATGCACGCTGCTTTTTGTTGCATGTATATATAACACTGTATATGAACTGTACACATTACATATGTGTATTTACCAGCAAACTTGTCGATCTTGGAAAATAGGAAAGGACAGAGACCAAATGTAATCATATGTAATTATATTAAAGCAGCATTTGCAAAGAATATAAGAAGGTGCAATTAAAATTTAGTAAATTAAACTTGCCTTTAGTAGGATGACTCTTGGTTTGGCTCATTAAATCAGGTGCAGATCTAAAATGGTGAGAATTGTCATGCTGTACTTTTCCACAGACTAGCAACACTGAATCAAGCTTTTGGCAAAATTATTGCTATACGGTACAGAGCCCTTGCCTGAATATATTGCTATTCCATTAACAACATGGAATGAAACAGATTGATGCATAAGATAACCATACCTTAAGAGAGAGTCCTTTGCTATGTCAGGTTAATGCCAAATACCACTTGAGGAATAGGAAGAAAAGAAGTGGCAGCAAGCTACTTTTCCTCTTTCAGTTTCAGTGACTTAAAGCAGTTTACAGCCACCTCTTTATGCAGCTTTTTGAAAGGTGATATCCATAAGAATGGTATGCTAGCTAAGGAATCTTGGCCCTGGAGGACTTGGACCTAGAATTGGAAAAGGTAAGACTAGCTTCCCAAATAACAGAAATTGCTCCCCCTTGGAACAGTTTGCACTCCTTGAAGAAGCTGCCAGGGAGGGGGGGAGGAGCCATTAATGCGGAATAGAATATATTGCATTTTGCTATGTACATCCGTTTATAATTCCATTGCAATGCGGGAAGATATTTCTGTGAATTGACACAGAGTTTTTCAAGCTCATGTACAACCTAAAGCAAGCAAGCTGTTTCTTATATTTTTCAGGAGCTATACTGAGAAGAGCAGATGACAAGTAGATAAGATCAGTTCTCTGAGATAAGCAGGAACTGCCTTTCCTTCATTTGTAAAGCACTGTAATTATGGGGCTTGGCTTGCCTTGCAGAGGCCAGTAATGGCCTGTAGCCCAGAAGAGACCTAATGTGTGAAAAACCAGCGTATTCCCTGAAGTATAAGACTTGTAATTCCAAACCCATTGCATGTGGGGTTTTTTGTTTGTTTTCTTTTAGGAAAATTGTGATGCATTATCTACAGGGAAGAATGCTTTGTTTCCAACCTTCTACTGACGAAACTATTCTGAAATTTGATCAGTGACGACAGAGTTCGTTCTTTAATGTCTGGCCACTGTCACTACTAACATGTATTACATGTTTTTTTCCATGGAGCAGTTATAAAAGAAGGGATCAGTGTGGTGTTCCCCCTTGTATCTTGTGAGCTTTGAAGGCTCAAGGCTCTTTGCTGAGTGCTGGAACATACCATCATTCCCTCTTTCTTTTCTGTGGAAATCAAGGCTTGGGGAAGAGAGGTGGCTGGTGTGTGCCCACATATCCCTTTATATATCTGGGATGCAGCTGGCACAGGAAACACTGCTGGGTCCACTGATGTAACCTGAATGACCATAGCTTTGGCAGCTCTGTGGCCTCGAGTCTGCTTGTGGGCTTCAGTCACACACAGGGGTAGCAGGCTGTCGGGCAAACCCAGCATTTCTCTTGTGAAAGCAGCAGCAGCTGTTTGTGGCTCTGTCTGGCCATTCATGACTGCTGAAGGTGTTCAGCTGACAGGGGCAGTGGCTTTAAACACTGATATTTGTCGTTGTATTGCTCATCAGACCAGGGAGGAAGAGAGAAGAGTAGCACAAAATGTGGAGCAGCATCTCCAACCGTGTGTAGCTGCTGCTCTTGGCTGTCCTTTGGATAGCTTGTAAGGTGGAAGCACCTTACCTTTGCTGCTCTTGGCTGTCCTTTGGATAGCTTGTGAGGTGATGGTGAAGAGGCTTTTTTACATGGAATTCCTGAAAGCTTTCCAGAGTCTCAGTCTGCTTCAAAACAACATTAACTGTTTCTTTTTTCCTCCCCCCGCTGCAACTTTACTTGAAAATTTAAGTTAGTGGCCTGCGCTGACTCCTCACAAAGTAGGTCACAGCATTTCTACATGTGACGTGTGGATCTAGTTACGAAGTAGTAGTAATATTAATAACCTTAGTTCTAACTTGCCCAGCTATGATGAAAAACGTGCTGTAATGTGTTGGTATTTCAGGAACACGATTCAGTATGAATGTTAATGATCCTGCCTGGCCAGTTCTCTTTAATGAAAAGGGAGTTGCAACTTTATTTTATGTTCTGAGGGTGAAGCCTTTTCTAAAAGCAGCGGGAGCCTTGCCACTGGCCTTAGGAGGGTAAAGTGACACCTGACCTTAGTATGTTCTTCATGTACTCTATTCCTGCATTTTATATATGCATATATAAAAACTTCTGCATACCTGTAACAGCAACAAGTTGTTTTATTTTTCAAGAAACATTTCAAAATATACTACTTCAGGGCTAGAATTCAATAGCCAAACTTTAGTCTTGAGCCAGAATTTTTGGCTAAGTTGTATGCTTATGTAATTACATTTGTTCTCACATGGGTTGCTGGATGGCTAGATTTGTCATTTGCAAGATTGCTTGTTTTCTAACCTCTCTTTTTTTTATAGATTCTTCTGTTTATTTGGTTTATAATGACCAATGTAATCATCGTTTGTTAAAATCTGTAAAGAACAAAACTGTTCAACTGTTCAACTTATTTGAATAATTTTACAGCTTTTTTTTCTGGCAAAACAGGTTTCATCCCTGGATACTGTGCAGAAGTGCACTTTTAAGATGCCCAGCATAGCTAGAATTGCAGCACTATCTATCTTATCTTTGGAACAGTGTTATTCCAAAGTTGCAGAACTGTCTGAAGTTTTGATACATAAGACTGACCTCAGTGTTGGCATTTTTTCAGGCTGACATGCTAGAAGTGTTCTTTATTTTTCTGTATTTTAATTGAAAGGGTCACTAGAGAATACAGTAGTCACTGAAACTGCAGGAAGAACGCAAGCATTTAAAAGGTGTGCATGGTAATGCTTCACTGAGATAGTTATCACTAAGATGCTGCAATAAGTGGAACCTGCTGGTACATTTCAAGAAGGTGGAATGAATTACCTGGGTTGGACCATGACCAGGGCTTCCCTGCAACTGTATTTGTGTGCTTTGAAAAGTGCCGCTGGAAAACCAAAATGGTTCTCATGGCTTCTTTGTCCTGCTTGAAATTCTAGTTAGTGCCTCAGCTAAGCTTGGGGGAAAACCTAAGCTTTAATTATATCTTGTCCATTAAGATATTTAATTTCTACCTGAATATAGTTTTGATTAGTTCATGAAATTTGATAAAAATCATTACGTAATAGCTGTATTACTGAAAAGTATCTGTAAATAATTTTTTTTCAGTATTTGTCTCAGCGTGTAAATTTGATAGTATGACCTTAGACCCTGCAATATTTACTGTTGTTAACGTGGTAAGAAAAATCTGACGCTCAGCGATGTTCACATCTTTCCTTTAGGGAATTCCAATTTTTAGTGTTTTCAAACTCAAAGCACCATCCTCTTTGAGCTGATTTGTATGCAAGGAAATTAGATGGTATGAATTAAAATGTAAAAACATCATCTTCTAAAATGAAGGTTAAATCCTGAGTGTTTCATTCTGTGATTTATCAACATCACGAATTTTATTAGTTTTCACAGGTTCCTTCCATAATGTGGATAGTAGATCATACTGTAAGTATAGTGACAGGGCACAATTAGAATACTTCTAAAAATGACCAGCATGATGACTGCACAGGATTAGACAGGAATTAAACCACAAATGTTGTTGCTTAGGGAACTGTGTGAAGGACAGGGATACTTGAAAACTTCTTCTGTGTACTAATAACTAATAATTACTGTTTCAACTTTTCCCCAAGCAAATGCAGTTGTAATAACCTAGAATTTGAACATTCAGGGATAGCAAATTAGTCTTCAGGATACAGAAATAGAGTTTGAGTGGTGTTCTCAATAAGAGGAAGTGTATTTATGTGAGAATATGAAAAACAGTATTTCCAGTTGAAACTGTGTGCTGTATGGGCTCCAGAATTAACTTTTGTAATACGAAATACAGGTCAATATTTCCCTTAATAATGTTTTTGAGCAGTTTCTTCAGAGTTCAGCGTCAACACTTGAGAAGAAATCTGAATAATGCATTGAACAGCTGTAAGCAGAATTGCAATTGAATTGCTGTGTAACTCTCTTCATAGAGTCTGACTGAGAAGCTGCTGAAGAAAGAACAGGACTACACCCAGCTAGAAGAAAAACACAATGAAGTATCTGTGAGTAAGAAGAACGTGCAGGCAAGCTTTCACCAGAAAGACCTGGACTGCCAACAGCTTCAGGCAAAGCTGTCTGCATCTGAAGCCTCGATACAGAGATTACAGACAGAGCTAGCTGAGAGGGGGGAAGCAAGCCAGAAACTTAAAGAAGAGTTGTCCGAAGTAGAAACAAAGTACCAGCATCTCAAGGCAGAATGTAAACAGCTCCAGCAGCAGAGGGAGGAAAAAGAGCAGCATGGCCTGCAACTCCAAAGTGAGCTCAGTCAGGTAAGGTACCTTAAGCCTCCTAGACCATCCTATTGGGATGGTTCCTTAAACCATCCCATTAGGGTTTTTTAAACTGTGCATGCGTATTTTTCGTGCACATGCATTTGCATTTCCTTATTGAAGGGGAGTAACTAGCCAGTACTTGTGTTTGAATAAATATAAAGCTAGCTGGTGTTTGAATTGAATAAATATAAAGCATTCTTCCTAACACTGCAGAGAATGAGATACAATCACCTCTTCCCCTTAGAGAAATAAAGAAAACAACAGGCAAAAAGAAGAGGCTGTGATAAGAGTGCAGAAATTCTTTGGTATTTGTTTGTTGTTATGTTTGAATCTTTTTAGTAGATCCAGACTCTTGCAGGGGCAAATGAGGACAGTTGTAGCCCCTGTGTCACAATCAAACTCAGCAAGATCTACAGTTATAACCACCTTTCCACATTTTTATTTCTGGGAAGGCTAATGTAATATCTGTCTGTCTGTAGTATAATTCCCCTTTTTCTGAAAGGGAAACATCTTACTAATTCTGTTCTATCTGGAACTCTTCTTAAAACTATGTTTATAATTTCAGTTTTGAAGATTAAGGTTGAATGAGCATAAACTTTATAGCTTATTTCTCAGGTTCTGATTTGACTTTTTTTTGTACATGAATAAAAAAGGCTTTAGCTGATCTGAGACGGGTTTTTTGTCCACTCTTCTTCTCTTACAGTGTTAAATGAACTCTTTTTTCATCCTACAATTTTTCCTCTCCCCATTTTTTGTTGATGCATTCCCTGAAATAAGGGAAATATTGTCGAATGAGAGGGCAACCCAGAATATTGAGTTTCCATGACAAATATGGTAGCAGACAAATCCTAAGAAGTCAGCAAGGTTATTTATTGTGATTCAGTAAGGTAGATGAAGCTATAATGAATTTAGGTTATGAGAAAAACAAATTCAGATAGAGTATCAGAAGTAGTTTCACTTCTAGTAGTAGTAATTTTACTGCTCTATAGGAAGTTTGAGAAGAATGAGTCTTCGTTTTACATTAGAATTGAAGAATGCTTGATTTGCTTTAAAATTGAATAGTGAATACAGTAGGGAATACTTAGTGTGAAAAGCAGGGACCATTTGAAGTCTTAATATTGCTTCCTTTGTGTCTCTCCACAAACACTTTCTCTTTATGTTGCTGATAGCTATGAGAACACCCAGAGCATACGTTCCCCCACGGTTTACGTATTGTTCTGCTGAGTCCAATGAGTTATGGAAGCAGGACTTTCATATAACATTGAGCGTACTGAAATTTGAGGCTGGTTGAACTCTGTTTTATCTAGTGTCTTGGGGAGTAATGTGTTAGACTGGAGAAATATTTGTGCATCAGGAATCGTGTCCAGTCCTAAGATGGAAAAAATAATCTGGTTTTTTGTTAGTATGAAGTACTTCATTTTAATCTCTCGGCTAAAGCTTTATCATTTTAAAGTGAGTGTTTTTCAATTTTCAACCCTTTGTCAAGACTGAAATAGATTAAGTTGCAAGCTGTGCGTGTCTAGTTTATCTTGGAAGAACTGTGGCTTGGCAAAACTTCATTTATGTATGTATTACATCCGCAGAATAACTTTCCTTCTCCCATCAGTCTTCTGTCAGGGGGAGGGGAGATAATGGTATTAGTTATCTGCTTAGGAATTCTCACTTGGTAAAACTGCCTCAGTCTGCCTAGGCAACATGTGTGCAAGCTTCAGAAGAGGTTGAAGTTTCAACCAAGAGGTCGAAATCTGACAGCTGAAATCTGGCGTCAGCCTGAGAGGACGTTTTCAGGAAGGATTTTTGGGGTGGGAAAATGAAGGAGGAGGAAGGTAAATAAAGCATTGCTGAATGGATTCCTATGAAGGGAGATGGAGGCATTGCACATTCTCTGGTGATACCATTGGGAAGGAAGACAGTCTAAGCAAGAAAACCTGAACAAGCTGCTGGACCTAGGATGTGTTTTAGAATTGTATTGTACAAGAATAGTGGAGGAAAAAAAGCCCTTCATAGATGGTATAAAATAAAATTAAAGCCAAGCAAAAACTTCTCTTCTTCTCTCTCACTCCAAACAAGAGTTCAGTTACTATTGTCATGAAAAGGCTAAATTTCTTGTATTTGTTCACTTAATTTGTTCACCTCCCCGAGGAGGGCACACAGGAAGCTCACTACCGTGGACTTCAGGAGAGCAGATTTTGGCCTCTTCAGGGATCTGCTTGGTAGAGTGCCATGGGATAAAGCCCTGGAGGGAAGAGGGGCCCAAGAAAGCTGGTTAATATTCAAGGATCACCTCCTCCAAGCTCAGGAGCAATGCATCCCAACAAAGAGGAAGTCAGGCAAAAACGCCAGGAGGCCTACATGGATGAACAAGGAGCTCCTGGACAAACTCAAACACAAAAACAAAGCCTACAGAGGGTGGACGCAAGGGCAAGTAGCCTGGGAGGAATACAGAGAAATTGTCCAAGCAGCCAGGGATCAGGTTAGGAAAGCTAAAGTCCTGACAGAATTACATCTGGCCGGGGACGTCAAGGGCAACAAGAAAAGCTTCTATAGGTACATTGGGGATAAAAGGAAGGCTAGGGAAAACGTGGGCCCTCTCCGGAACAAAACGGGAGACCTGGTTACCCGGGATATGGGGAAGGTGGAGGTACTCAATGACTTTTTTGCCTCGGTCTTCACCGGCAAGTGCTCAAGCCTCACTGCCTGAGCCGCAGAAGGCAAAGGCAGGGACTGGGAGAATGAAGAGCCGCCCACTATAGGAGAAGATCAGGTTTGAGACCATCTAAGGAACCTGAAGGTGCACAAGTCCGTGGGACCTGATGAGATCCATCCGTGGGTCCTGAAGGAACTGGCAGATGAAGTTGCTAC